CTGCATGCAACAGGCCTCTAGTATATAATAAAAGCCCAGCAACTGCATGGCAGAATGACAACAACGGTCAACCAGTTGCTATGCTGCAAACTGACCACCAGGGGGCAGACACTCAATGCAGGAGCTGCTCCCTGGTGGTCAGTCTGCTCCCACAGTGGAAGCGCTGCTCAGCTGACCAATAGGCACTAGACGCACGGCTGGCGAGCGCCGCCATGGTGGCGCAAGCCTCTCCTGCCTCTGCAGTGGCAATGGCAGGCGCAGCGGGGCCAGGATGAGTGGGAGCTGTGCCGCAGCTACCTGCTGCTTCGTGCACTACTACATCCCCTGAGGGTCCTGAATTTTGAGAGGGCGCAGGCCAGGCTGAAGGACCCCACTAGTGCACAAATCCGTGCACCAGACCTCTAGTTAGTATATAATATGCCTCTATCTCCTCCATTCTACAAAGAGAAATCACCCAAAAAAACTGGTAGAATCAGTGATCTCAATAGAACAAAAAATTAGGACTGAAGTAAAAGATGCACTGTTTTTAGGCTGCAAAAGAACCTTTTGGAAGACACAGACAGTAAATTCAGACTTGGTTATCTTGCTCAGGAGAATGTATGTTCTTAGCAAAAAACCCTTTTCATCATCATGACTCTAAAAACACAACTGGCCAGAGTAAGGGCAAAGGTGAGCATGGGTGCAAGCTAAGGTTTGGGGACCATAGTCAACGCTCTCCAACCTGCCTGAGCAGGACAGAGAGCAGCAGGCAGGTGTATGAGAAGGACTGGAAGGTGACTGCAGGGAGAACCAGGGAGGGCAGAATATTCTAAATATCTTCATCTCTCATCCCCCACAGTCAAATTCAGGATTTTCATCACAGTTCTACTAAGCTAGGGGCTTCACAAATGTGGTCTCCTGACTAGCAGAAGTAGCAATACTTGGGAACTTGTCCAAAATACAAATTTTAAGGGTCCACCCCAGACCCACTGAGAAAACCTCAGGGGTCGGTCCAACAATCAGGGCTTTACTAACAGCCTTCCAGGTGATTCTGAAGCATAGGAAAGTCTGAGAAGCATAGAGCTGAGCATTCCCTGCTCACAAACTCACATTTAAGGGCATACATCTAAAGACAACTTCTGTCTTCTGCAAGGCAATTTACTCCTAGACAAATCATCATCAGTTAGGATTACAACTTTCTTCCTTTCTTTACATTCAGTTCTAGCAATGACTGGAGTATAACCTTTAAAGGGTCCCCTTGGGGTGATCCCTCACCCCTCAGCAGAACCAAAGAAATCTTTTCACCAAAGGCCCTACTTTTTGTCTGTGGGTGTGATGCTGCCATTCACGGCCGTACTGTCTGCTGCCTGGATGGAGGTAGACCCCGTCTCCTAGGGAAAGGAAGCACAAAGAATCAGGTCAGGCTGCCCATGGCAAGGCCCCAGTGGAAGGTAAAAACGAGGAGGCGTGGAATCTACGTACCTCTTCACATATTTTCAACTTCTTTGTGATGGCCTGGTAACAGACAGCTGGCTAATAAAGAGGGAAGAAAAACACCAGTTATTAAACTGAACGCTTAACCATTCTTCATTATAATTTACCTAAAAAGTTAGGCCTAATGTGGGATGCTAACATCAAAATCTTATTTGGTGTTCAATTTTATTGAACATTCCAGATGACACAGAAAGTTAACACACATTACCCCTTCAATTCTCCACGCAACTTTGCAAGATCCTTTTGTTAACAATGACATTAAGAATCAGAGGCGGCCCTAACCGGTTTGGCTCAGTGGATAGAGCGTCGGCCTGTGGACTGAAAGGACCCAGGTTCGATTCCAGTCAAGGGCATGTACCTTGGTTGTGGGCACATCCCCAGTAGGAGGTGTGCAGGAGGGTGATCGATGTTTCTCTCTCATCGATGTTTCTAACTCTCTATCCCTCTCCCTTCCTCTCTGTAAAAAATTAATAAAATATTTTAAAAAAAGAAAAGAATCAGGGGCGTTTAGTCACATGCCCAGAATTAGTGTTGGTCCGTGTAACTGCGTTTGGAACCCAGCTCTGTCCAACTTCAAAGCTACATCCTATCAGCAGATCTTATCAAGGCTTGGCCTAACCCAGTGTGGCTAACAAACTGCGGTTTGTGAGCCACATGGGGGCTCTTTGGCCCCTTGAGTGTGGCTCTTCCTAAGCCTTAGGAGTACCCTAATTAAGTTAATAACAATGTACCTACCTATGTAGTTTAAGTTTAAAAAATTTGGCTCTCAAAAGAAATTTCAATCATTGTACTGTTGATATTTGGCCCTCTTGACTAATGAGTTTGCTGACCACTGGCCTAACCCCATACCTTGCAGTCACTTCAGAAAACTTTCCCTCCACACCTGGAGGCTATGGAGGCTACTACCCAGCAGCACGGGCTACCTTACAGGTGGCTGACAGCTCACGAGTTTTAGTTTCTGCCCTAGACTCTGAAGGCAATCACAAATGTCTCAATCACACAGCTGACAAGTTTTAAAAGCTTTTTTTTTATGGGGGGGGGGAGGGGGTCTATAATAATAAAAGCATAATATGCTAATTAGACCAGAGGTCTTTCTGGACAAAGCTGGGGCTGCGAAGAAAGTCTGGGTCCTGGGTCCCTGCATGCAGCTGGAGGGAAGCCCGGGTCCCGGGTGCCAGAGGGAAGCCAGTGCTGGCAGCGGGTGGAAGGAAGGCCTACTCTTGCATGAATTTCGTGCATTGGGCCTCTAGTTTTTAATATTAACAAGATCCAATTCATGAGTGAACCCCTATGTGACTTTTACTAGTAACTCGCTGCTTTGGGCAATGGTACAGGCAGAGCCTAACTTTTCAGACTAGTAAGGTGAGGTTCCAATGGAACAACACTCTCCTTTAGGCCAGCTCCTGACCAAGGATCAAGAACTTCAAAGAACAGCCCTGACCCATTTGGCTCAGTGGATAGAGCATCGGGCCACTAACAAGCATCTCCTGCACGCTAACGAAGAATAATTACAATATATATATTTTTTTTTTTTAAAGAACTTCAAAGAACAACTCACCTTCTCGGTTTGGCTGAGCAGGAAGTGATGGAAATGAGGGTCTGCATCTTTAACAGGCTGAAACCAGAAAATTATTAAATAAAACAAATTATCTTCCAAAGACCCCTTCCTTCTGCCTGGTAACTGCTTTCCTCTGGCTAAACACCCTAGGGAGCTGGCCCTAATTTTATAACTGGCTGGAAACACTTTTCCCATTGTTGATCTAAGCCTTTTGTAAACGACGTCTGTTCCAGCTAAAGGAAAATTGGCTTCAGTAGATATTTCTGCCTGGTTGGTATATAAATTATTCCAATAACAGCATGGGAAAATATTTAAAAGGCATACTAATATTTTTAAAGTCCAGCATTCTCATTAGTCATGTTGGATAACACAGCTGACAAAGGCAAATCAATTTTGAGGGCTCTTTTCCAATTTTAGGGTTTTGGCCTACTTGTGTCTGGTACTAGACCTTTGATTGTTTTCATCTCACTGAGGGCCGATATTAATAGAAATAAAAGGACAACAACTGCAGGCCTTTCATAATTAGGCTCAGTAACAGGGAAAGGGTACTACTATATCAAGGATAGAATAACGTATGGTTACTAAACATCAAGTTTTATATACAGACAGTGAAAGGGTGTTTATAAAACATCAAGTGGAAAAAAAATCTGCAGATGATCCCACTTTTGTGAAAAATAACCCTAGTCCCATCAACACAAACTATATATTGGTATGTAATTAATAAATGATGGCTAATGGGTGTATCAAAGGGGCTGAAATAAGTTGTATCAAACTTAACAGTGAGCACCTGAGAGTGGAAACTTGCATTCTTTACCACATACTCCTCTGTACTGTTTGATAATTAAAAAAAAAAAAAGCAGCTTCACATACACAAAAAGGAGGAAAAGGAAAAAAAGTGTATAGCAGCCAGGCCAGGAAATCAGCTCTGAGGCCAACCTTGAACTGGCCCGCAGGAGAGATCCTTACCTCATTCACAGTTGGCTGCCATTTAAATGCAGCCATGGGTCCGGCCATCATCCCCTTAATGGTACTAGACTCAGGAATGGTGAGGTCCTACAAAGAGAAAGGCAAATTGTCAAGACACTGTGGGACCTTGATAGACGTGTTCTTGCCCAAACTGGGAAGCAACTTTTCATTGGTCTCCTTCCTTCAGTCACATTCTATCCACACTAAACACCTAGCCCATCCTGGCAGGTGTTGCTCAGGGGTTAGAGCGTCAGCCTGTGCACCCAAGGGTTGTGGGTTCGAATCCTGGTCAGGGGCATGTACCTGGGTTGCAGGTTTGATCCCTGCCTTGGTTGGAGTGTGTGTGGAGAGCAGCCCATCTATGTGTCTCTCACACATCGATGTTTCTCTCCTCTCTCTCTCCCCCCTTCCCCCTCCCTTCCACTTTCTAAAAAATAAAAATCAATGGAAGGAGTATCCTTGGGTGTGGATTAAAAAAAACAAAACAAAACAAAAAAACAACCAGCCCAGCCAGCATGGCTCACTGGTTGAGCATCAACCTATGAACCAGGAGGTCATGGTTCAAATCCCAATCAGGACACATTGCATGGGCTGCGGGCTCGATTTCTAGTGTGGGGCATGCAGGAGGCAGCCTCTCAATGATTCTCTCTCATCATTGATGTTTCTATCTCTCCTTCTCCCTTCCTCTCTGAAATAAAAAATATTTTTAAAAATAAATAAATAACAAAAAACCCCTAGCCAGCTCCATGGTCTCAGCATCAGTTCAAGCCCATGTCCCCAGCCAGGTTCTGATGACAGTCCATTAGGAGAACCAGGGAAAGTTCTCATCAACACAGAGTGAGCTTTTCTTCTCTGTTCTTGAAATAACAAAACATATCCTGGTGTGTGATGGAGAAAAGCCCAACTATGGTCTGCAGTGTTGTTAGAGAAAATTCCTTATGGCGAATAATAAACATTATTAAGAAAATAGTACAGGCTTCAGAAGGAATCCACTAATCTCAAAAAACAAAACAAAACAAAACCACCACCTAAAAAAGCCACATGGTGCTCATGAGGAAATCTGCCCAACATTTTTCAGGACTAAGTGACAAAGCCAGAACTGGAACTCAGGGTGGTCTGGAGCCAAGATCCCCACTCTCCTCAGAATGATGCAAGGAGAGGACCCAGCGGAGTGAGGCTGCTGCTCCTCTTTATTAAGGGCCTGGCCCATACCCATTCTAGGCAAAGAGGCACTGTTTGTTCTAGCTTTACAACTGGTCTGTTCTCTTTCCCATCTTCCAGCCACAGTGGCCCTCCTGACATTTCTACTTGGATATCAAATGGGAATCTTGACATGCTCAACTGAACTCTTGATTTCCCTGCCCAAACGGCTTCTTCTACAGTTTTCTCAATCTCTGAAACAGCAACTCCATTTACTACCAGGCCAAGGTCCTTGGAGTCCTTCTTGATTCTATCCTCCTCTCTCCTCTAATCCATCAACAACGATTATGGCTTTATAAATGGGAATGTGCAACCCCTTCTTTTGAGTACCCCCACTACTAACACCCAAGGACCAGGCTACCATTGCCTATCACTTGGACTGTAGCAAAAGGAATCTCTCTGCTTCTGCTCTGGACCCGTACATTCTAGTCCAGGGGTGGGCAAACTTTTTGACTCGAGGGCCATAATGGGTTCTTAAACTGGACCGGAGGGCCGGAACAAAAGCATGGATGGAGTGTTTGTGTGAACTAATATAAATTCAAAGTAAACATCATTACATAAAAGGGTACGGTCTTTTTTTTTTTAGTTTTATTAATTTCAAACGGGCCGGATGCGGCCCGCGGGCCGTAGTTTGCCCACAGCTGGTCTAGTCTATACACAGCAGCCAGAGTGAAGCATGACACTTCTCTGCCTAAATCTGACATCCTGTCTCACATGGTCAAGCTAGAGGCTTTTATTGTGGCCTATGGCGCCCTAGATGTGCTGCAACCCCACTCCATGCTAATCTCCAATCTAATGTCCTATTACTTTCTCTCCCGCCCACCAGTGCCCCCATGGCCCTCCATCTCCATTCCCCAAAACACCACACATGCAAATACTCTAGTGCAAGGGTCCTCAAACTACGGCCCACGGGCCACATGCAAATACAAATATTATACTTGTTCCCGTTTGGTTTTTTTTACTTCAAAATAAGATATGTGCAGTGTGCATAGGAATTTGTTCATAGTTTTTTTTTTAACTATAGTCCGGCCCTCCAATGGTCTGAGGGACAGTGAACTGACCCCCCTGTTTAAAAAGTTTGAGGACCCCTGCTCTAGTGCCTTTGCACTGCTGGGTATGCTCTTCCAACTTGGTTCATATGCTCACTTTAGGTCTCCATTGAAATGTCACCTATCAGAATGCTTTCCCTCATTGCTCTGTATTTTCCTCCATTGGAATGTGATGCTGATTACTATAATGACAACAAATGCTTTTACAGGGCTTACCATATGCCAGACGTTAGAGTGCTATTTATATGTATATTCTCACATAATTGTCACAACCTCATGAAAAAGAACTATTATCATCTCCATTTTACAGAAGAGAAAACTGAGACAGCTTAAGTATGCTTGCCTAAGGTCACAGAGCTAATAATGAGTATGGTACATGAAATTTAAACTCAGGGAATTTGGCTTCAGGATCTATGTTATTATAAGTAAGTTCTATGAAAGTAAGAATGTCACCAATTTTGTTTACTTTATATATCCCATGCTGGGAACCATTCCTGGCGCATAGTTGGTGTTCAATATTTACTAGTATTGAAGAAATGAACACGTTAGGGGCCTTGTCTTTCATGCTGCTTTATCTCTAGACACTTGTTGAATATAGAGGTTTGAGTAAAAGAGGCCTAGTGCAGTACTGCCAAAAATAATTTTCTGCCATGATGAACATGCCCTATACCTGTACTAATACTATAGCCAATAGTCACAAGTCCACCATGGCGCACCTGATACGTGGCTAGTGTGACTGAGAAACTGAATTTTAAATTGTATTTAATTTAAATGTAAACGGTCACCTGTGACTAGGGGCAGTACAGCTTTAATGACTTGCCTAAGACCAGTGGTTCTCAACCTTCTGGTCCTTTAACCATTTGCGGTCCAATGTTATTTGTGGAATTCAAACAGTCTGGTCCAAATTAACTGACGGGATTGAATGTTGAACTTTTTAATGTTCTTATTGCTCAATGTTGGACCTGCTCCTAGCGCCTGGTCTGTCGAGTCAGCCTCGAGGTTAGACCGAAAAGGATTAAATACAGTTTCTCATGTTGTGACCGAACCATAAAATTATTTTCGTTGCTACTTCATAACTGTAATGTTGCCACTGTTATGAATCGTAATGTAAATATGATATGCAGGATTGTCTTAGGTGACGCCTGTGAAAGGGTCGTTCGACCGCCAAAGGGGTCACGACCTACAGGTTGAGAACCGCTGCCTAAGACCAAAATGACAGATGAGAGTAAGGCAGAGAACACAGCTCTCCACCTAGCACTAACCAAAGGCCCTGACTCCTAAATCAGTGCTCTCTGCACTAGTCTGGGATTTTATTTTATTTTTAAATATATATATGTGCCCGCAACCAAGGTACATGCCCTTGACCGGAATCAAACCTGAGACCTTTCAGTCCGCAGGCTGATGCTCTACCCACTGAGCCAAACCCGTGAGGGCTAGTCTCGGATTTTAGGAGAACCACAGGACTGACAGTTTTATTCTGTCAGGGTTCTTTGTGCCCAGAGTTGTAGTTCTCAGCTAAAGACTTGGACGGATTTCTAGACACAAACCCAGCCTCTGCTTGCCTGCATGTAATTGACACCTCCACTATCAAGATCAGCCTTTTCTGTTAATCGTTACAGGATAGGAGATTATGGCCCAGAATGGCAAACATCTGGGGCTTTGCCCAGTTATCAGCCTATGCTACTGCTCTCTGCTTCACAGAGGAGCTAGTCAGCCAAATGACAATTACTATAGAAACACAATACTCTTTTGAGACCACAGGGTATCTATACTAATATAAGGGTAATATGCTAATTAGACTGGGAGACATTCCAGACGTTTTGGACAAAGCCATGGTGGCGGGGCCGAGGCAGAGGTGGTTAGGGGCAATCAGGCTGGCAAGGGAGGGCAGTTGGAGGCGATCAGGCTGGCAGGGAAGGGCAGTTGGTGGCGAGCAGGCCGGCGGGAGGAAGGGGCAGTTGGGAGTGATCAGGCTGGCAGGGAAGGGCAGTTGGTGGCGAGCAGGCCGGCGGGAGGAAGGGGCAGTTGGGAGTGATCAGGCTGGCAGGAGGAGGCAGTTGGGGGTGATCAGGCTGGTGGTGGGTGGGGGGCGAGAAGGCCAGTGAGGGCAAAGTTGTGGGCAAGCAGGCCGGCAGGCAGAGTAGTTAGGGGCGATCCAGTAGGCAGGCAGGTGAGCGGTTAGGAGCCAGCGGTCCCGGATTGTGAGAGGGATGTCCCAGATTGGAGAGGGGGCAGGACAGGCTGAGGGACACCCCCCTTCCCGCCCCCCATGCACATATTTCGTGTACCGGGCCACTAGTATCAGATCATAAGATACACCGAAATTCCAAACCCAAGCATATTTCCTATATCTCTGAAGACACTTAAGATCAATGGTGAGAACTGAAATCGCCATGTGGCCCCAGCACCCCTACCCATACTCTTTCCTTTCCTGACAAATCTTTCATTAGAGTCCAGGCCTAGCATGGAGATCTTACAGAAAAAAACAAAACTAAAGATCAAGAGCAGGTAGAACTCCTGGATGGAGACCTGGCTCTGAGAACAGCGGTAGAAATGTTACTCCCCCTCCCCCCCAATTAATAATTCAGACTAAAGGGTAAACTGCTTTTTACTGGGAGCTTGTGAGAAATTCCTCCCAGCAAGTCTGGCAGCGGTCTTGGGGTTGCAATAAACCAGTGCCCTCACTGCACAACAGGCTACTGCTGAAAAATATCAAAGGTATGACATTTATGCCCAGCCGATGTGGCTAAGTGGTTGAGCGTTGACCTATGAACCATGAGATCATGGTTCAATTCCTGATGAGGGCACATGATCCTGTTGTGGGCTTGATCCCCAGTGTGGGGCGTGCAGGAGGCAGCCAATCAATGATTCACTCTCATCATTGATGTTTCTATCTCTCCCTCTTCCTTCCTCTCTGAAATCAATAGAAAAAAATAAAATCCTATATAATAAAAGTATAAAATGCAAATTGACATGCACTGACCATCAGGAGACAGACGCTCAATGAGGAGCTGCCCCCTGGTGGTCAGTGCGCTCCCACAGCGGGAACAATGCTCAGCCAGAAGCCCTGCTCACAGCTGGCGAGTGCAGCAGTGGTGGAGTGCAGCAGTGGTGGCGGGAGCCTCTCCTGCCTCCGCTGCAGGCGGGTGGTAAGGAGCGAGGGGTCCTGGACTGAGAGAGGGCACAGGCCAGGCTGAGGGATCTCCTCCCCCCCCAGTGCATGAATCTTGTGCACCGGGCCTCTAGTATATATATAAAAGTGAATTTATCACATGCATAATGTGTTGCAGGCACTGTCTTGGGTGCTTTGCTTGTGTTACTCATTTAATTCTCACAACAAATGTAAGGGGCAGGTATCTTTAATATTCCCAATGATCAGACGAGGAAACCAAGGCAAAGGGAGCTGGTCAAGGTCACACAGGTATAGCAAGTCATGGAGTCATGATTCAAACTCAAGGCCCTCCTCCTAACTTCTTCTTTATACTTTCCTTTTATCCAAAAAGAAGTAATTTCTCTCCAGAGACAGCAGAGGAGTTGGTGAGATCCACAGCTTAAAGACACCAGATAGTGTGAACGTGGAGAATAGTATAAAACCTGATGGCCCAGATTCCTCTGGGTCCCTGGAAATAAATTCAACTAGATCAAATTAGATCAAATCCCCTAAGAAGTTTTTCACATACTGCAAAAAAGCCAGCATTTTTGAAACCTTCTCTGACTTTGGCTGGCACTTCCCTATGATCATGGTTACCTGGGACTGTCCCCACCACTACAGTCACTCTCATCTACTCTCAGTGTTAGGTCATTTGACAGCATGAAGGACCTTTTCTAACAGAGAGTTCACATTGGCAGCCCACTGGCTGAATCTGGCCCAGAGATGTTCCTTTGGAATAAGTATTTTAAAATTTTGAGTTAGCTACTAACATTTAAAATTGGAACATTTTACATAAAAACTTGTATTTCCAGCTTCCTTTGAGAAAAACCAGACAATCTGGCAAAAGTTGGCTGGAACTCAATGGGCAGAGCATAACCTCCCCAGACCACCAGCCACTGCCACCCCTAATGCTCTTAGCATGGATGCAGGGCAGGGCCGTGGAATCTCCTGCTTGAGCCATTTCTTCTTGCATCATTTGGCTCCACTCACTTCAATTACCTGTCTGGTCTTGCTGGTGTCTGAATTTGCAAGTCTTGATCTGATGGCTAGCATTTCATCACAGCCTCATCACCCAACTGTTTCCGTCAGCCATCTGGCTTCTACCCCCTTGATCCTGCTCTCACAATTACCTATGTTAGACTACCTACTTCATCTTAACACACTGCAGACCAGTTTTATTGCTAGCTTTACCCAGTGGCCAGGTAAGTTTCTATTGAACAAGTACAAAAAATGTTTTACACGAATGTTAAAAGGCACGCTTTAAAATTAAATACCCATTGCATTTTGAAGTTATTTATTACATGTTTTTACAAGCTAATATCTTTTTTAAAGTATGATACTTTCTAATGATAATTCATGCATAGGTTTATATATTGTTTGAAATTTACTAATAAAGTGGTTGAGTACAGACTGAATTTTAAATAGCCTGGATGAAGACTTAGTCATGTTTGCATTGTCACTGAAATGCCAATAAGTCCAGATGTGTTCAAAACGATTTCAACTCATTGTCTGAGGAAATATTGGAACAGCTAGAACTGGATCTGTAGACAAATATTCTTTCCAAGTATCCTTTTGAGTATGCCCCATTAGCACGATAAGTCCTAAAAAGGGTTTTATATATGTTGGAGTAACAGGTGACCACTTTATTGCTTTAGAAATTTTGTGCTTTCCCAAATTTTGGTTATAATATACTAGAGGCCCATTGCACGAAGATTCGTGCAATAGGCCTTCTTTCCCCTGGCTGCTAGCACCAGTTTTCCTCTGGCACCTGGGACCCAGACCTTCACTCTGGCCACCGCCTTCCATCTTCGCTCTGGACACAGTCTTTGCTGCGGCTGGAGCCTTCAGTCTTTGCTCCTTGCTCCGGCCGGAGTCTTCAGTCTCCGGCCAGAGCTGCTCCTATAGCTCCTTCTGCCCCCCACCCTCTCTCATAGCTTGATCGCTGCTTTGCCTGCAGACCTCGCTGATGGGCTCCTGGGTCCCGGGGGACCACCTTGCCTGCGGCTTGGCTTTCTGGCAGCTCCTGGGGTCGCACACGGGGGCCTGGATGGCGGCTCCCGGTGTCCCGCCCTGCCTGCAGTATGCAAATTAGCCATCATCTTTGTTGGCAGTTAATTTGCATATCTTGCTGATTAGCCAATGGTAGCAGAGGTACGGTTAATTTCAATCTTTGTCTATTATTAGATAGGATAAAAGACTCTTCCAAAATAAAAAAAAATATGAGGTAGATTAAGAGATCAATATATTGAGAGTGATCTTAATTTTGCTTTTTGAAGGAATAACTATATCACTGCCACTGTGAAAGCTTTCATCACTTTCACTTGGAATATCTGATAAATTGTCAGCAAATATATCCAGAATTTTATAATGTTCTTCATCACTATCCATGGTTACTGAGCACTTTAAAAATATCAAATTGATATAATAAGTTATTTTTATTACTAATGACAAGAGACTAATCACTTTCAATTCCTTTTGTAATTTTTATCTTCAGCAATGTGTCTCTCTAAATGACAACAATGTCCCTAGCCAGTTTGGCTCAGTGGATAGAGCGTTGGTCTGCTAAGTGAAAGATCCCAGGTTTGATTTGGGTCAAGGGTACATGCCCGGGGTTGTGGGCTTGATCCCCAGTGGGGGACTTGCAGGAGGCAGCTGATCAATGATTCTCTCTCATCATGGATGTTTCTCTCTCTCTCTCCCTGCCTCTTCCTTCCTCTCTGAAATCAATTTTATGTATAAAAAAAATAAATGACAACAATGAAAAGCTGAGAATTCTCGTGATTGGTCACAAGCCTTAGAACAGAGAACACGAGTATTCTCACGATTCGTCACAATGTGTTAAATTCTCCTCCCTTGGCATCCAAGACTTGACAAAAATCATTACAAGAAGGAGAGAGATATGTTATTTCTCCATTATTTCATTTTGCTAACTTCTTCCCACCCTGAACTACAGGCACTCTTACTACAAAGCTAACTCCTGCCCTTGACTCTTCTCCCTTCTTTACTTTCCCAAACATAAGCCCCATCTCGTCTAATGGATCCAACATTCTTCCTACACATTTGCTTCCCACGTCTACATTTCTGTCCTGCGACTCCAAGCTGTCCTGGTGGTCTAGGCATCAGCTAGCTCCTCTCGACCCCTCTGCTCTTAAGGTCTCACCATTTCCCCAGGCACAAACTTGAAATCATCTCTCTTTCTCTTTTCTCATTCATCCCCTTTATAACCAGTTGCCAATCTTATAAGCTCTTTCTCTGAAGTGCCTCACATAGTTACTTTCAATGTCTGCTATCACCCCCTTGGAATAGCTCCTTATGTGAACACACACCTGGATTAGCCTTCTAATTGACTTTGAGCATTTCTTCTCTGCCCTCCATGATTACGAATGCACAGCTTGGAGCACACCGCCACCTCAATACCCAGCTCAAACAACTTTATGGCCCTCTACTAACTTCATGACAATACACCACCACTCAAGTAAACCATAAGCTCTCCACAGTCCAGTGACAACCTACTTTTATCTGTCTGCTCTCCTTCCTGTCCTCTCCCTGTACTGAGAATAACCACACTGACATTAAGCCCCACATGAACTATGCCCTCCACCTCTGGAATGCCTTTTCTTCTTTCTTGCTACGCCCTTTCCAGTGCCAGCGCTTGCACACTGCTCAGGTGGACCATTCTTCTGACTTGAGCATTTAGTTGAATGCATGGTTCTTTGCTGCCTTGTGTTCCTATTTCACACCTGTGCATCCAGGCAGCATATCTCCCCTGATCTGCAGGATTCTTTAGGACAACTCTTAGTACAGGACTCTACGTTCACTCAATGAACTGAACCATATTGTAAAGCTCAACTCTGCCGCATACAAAAGAAAGTTACTAATCCCAGAAGCTGCAGAGATAAAACAAACCTTCTCATCCTTTGGGGGCCGACCCCGTTTCCGGGGACTTTGCTCTTGGGCTCTTTTCAGAGGGGACTTGGAGCCTCTCTCTGAAGAGCCTGATGACACCCTCTTCTTTCCTTCTCCCATGTTCTTCTTCACCTTCCCTTCAGACAGGCTAAGCTTGCGCTTCTCATCACCTGAGTTTGGCCTACTTCTCTCCTCACTGGAATTACGCCGATTCTTGTCATCAGCAGAATTGTGGGATGATGTCTGAAAGTTTAATAATAATAATGATAACCACCACAATAGCCGCTGCCATCACCACCACCATTTACACGAGCCATGCCCTATGATGAGCACTTTACATGCATTATCTGCACAACCCTATGAAACAGGTCTGCTGTCATCCCCACTTACACTTGAGCAGTTTAAAAAAAAAAAATCAAGTCACTTGCCCACAGTCCCAAAGCTAAGAAGTAGAATTTACACCCAGGCAGTGGATATATCCCAGAGGCTGTGCTCCTAATCGCTGAGCTATAAAAGGAGAAAAGACCTCTGCTGCACTCACATACTTCTCCTGAGTCCAAGTGACTTTCCTAAGAGCAACAATCTATTCCAGAAAGGTCAGCTGCATGCATGGAGCTTCAAGCCGATTACCAAAATGCTGATACCTCAGAACTGAAGTAGCTCTTTTTCTACTGGCATTTCATAAGAATAGAGTTTCGATTTAGGGTGCCATTTAATCCGTTAGTTAGTATGCAAAAATAACCGGTCGGGCATTAGCATAAATTAAGAATCATGAAGTCTCTCACCTGGTCTTTCCCTTTGGCTCTCCTGAGGAACTCTTCCACAGCATCCACAGCTTGCTGGAATCGTTTTCCCTTGTTAATCTTTATCATTTCCTCCTTATGCGCATGGTATGGCTTTAGCTGTTCCACTTTGATCCAGGCACTAGCAGAAAATACACAGAGAAAGGGTATGATCCACACTGCCGATGCCAGAAAGTATCAAAGACCTCACCCTAGCAGAATGCAATGATCCATTTGCTTTCATTGGGCTTTGAACAGGCCTGCCATTTTTTCAAAACATATTATTGACCACTTCAAGCTCTTGAGCCTTAAAGTATGTTTTCTTGGAACAAGCCAAGCAGAACAAGAAAAATCAGAATATCCTCCAAATGAAATCACTGTGTGATATGTTATTTCCACCCCTATTCACCTTCCTTCTACACTGAACCACACACACCATGCATGCCACTTGCTCTCAGGACAGAGGAAACCTGGAGTTGCTCTCCCATTTTTACCACACAGTATAGATGGCCACATATGGATCCCAGGAAATCAGGGCACCTAGAAGCATCGCCACTGGCAACAACCTAAACCAGATTGATGATCTGTCAATCAACTCAGAATCAGGGATATGAGGGCTTAGGAAATGCAACATTTAAGATCTTCTGCTCTTACAGATATTTGTAGCTGTGGAGCCCATACTTGTTCATAAATGACTGTATCCATGGTTACTAGACCACACAAAACATGTGACACATGGCTTGGAAAGAGGGCAGCAGCACAAAGGGAGGCCTTCAAAAACAAGATTCTATTTGCGATTAAAGGTAGAAAAACATACTCTTCTAATATTTAATTTTTAATTACTACCATCCGTGCATAACATATGAAAGTAGAAAAAGCCCTCAATTGTCAATTCTGGAATATGTGACCAACCACACTTATCATCTGAACAATTCAGCCTCAGCTGACTTTCTGTGGTTTCCCTAAATGATACTCAGTTTCACAGTATAAAGGAGAGAATTTTATAGGTTTGGCAAGGTAATAGTTAATTTATATGTTGTACCTTGTAACACTCAAAGGTTTCATAGTATCCCCTTCAGAAAAAGTGGATCCGGGTAAGGACTTAGAAACTGGGCTACCACACTAACTTAGGTTCCCTCCCTTGGAGAAAGCTATAGAATTCTCATTAATAACTAGAGGCCCGACGCACGAAATTATGCAAGGGGCTCAGCCCTCGCAGCCCTCGCAGCCCCTCGCTGCCTCGGCTGGCCCTCTCAGCCCTGGCTTTGTCCGAAAGGCTGTCCAAATGGTTGTCCGAACGGTCCTTCTGCTATTTGGTCTAATTAGCATATTAGCTTTTTATTATATAGGAGGACAGTAAAAGTGCTAACCTCTGTACATAAAAATAGCGCTACCAACCCACCAACAGCTTTGGGTGTTGTGATAATGATTGTGACAGTGGGTCTGTACAAACACAACAGCCCTGGGACCATCAACTGGCAAGTGGGACAGCAAACCAGGACTAGGCATGTTACCTATAGGTAAACAAAACTAGACATAATGAATGATGAAACGGGACTCAGCCCTAGCTGGTCTGGCTCAGTGGATAGAGTCTAGGTCTGCGGACTGAAGGGCCCTGGTTCGATTCTGGTCAAGGGCACATGCCCAGGTTGCGGGCTTGATTTCCAGTAGGGGGCGTGCAGGAGGCAGCCAATCAATGACTGTCATCATTGATGTTTCTCTCTCTCCCCCCTCCCCCTTTCTGAAATCAATACAAGTTTATTAAAAAAAAAAAAGAAAGGGGACTCAGACACTGGCATCACTGCATAGAGCTTCCACTGGATGAGTAAGCAGGTAACTTTCTCGTGACCAATTCATTTTAAAATTTGAAATCTGAGACAATGGAGCTAAGTGGGTCCGATCTATAGGAAGACAAATGGAATTAAATTTCAAACCCATAGTGTCTGGCAAGTATACCACTGAACTGACCTTCTTGCCTCTCCTCGCATGTATAGTGTTTCGAAGGACAGACCATCAGAGCAATCAGATACAAAGCCAGACACTCCCTGAAAAGCCAGTTAAGCTGTCATCCCAACTGGTGGCTCAAACATGACACAAGTATCAGTAATGAAGCTTAAAAGAGCCACAGACCTCAAGATAGGCCTCTTCCTTTTTCTGAGCTTCAGTCAGAAGCTGAGAACTGCACAAGTTCCAGAAAAAAATCAATAGGGTGCTTTTGATGGTGTCCTTGAGATGAGACAACATAGTCCAATAATCCTAATTCCTAACCTCCCTCTCCATATTAACCTTTGATTCAGAGTAAGTGGAAGGGTAAGGCTATCTGGAGGAAGCACCAATAAATCCATGCCTATGTTTTTATTGAAGCATTTTACTGATTTCTGCCAGGAGAACAATACAGTAAAAATCCCTTTCAACCTGAAGACTGGCATTTGAGACAGTAAAGTGAAATTTTCCTCTATGATCATCTTTGAAAAATGAAAATGGTTTGCTAAATGAACTGACAGCATAAATTTGACTTTAAAAAGATAAATGCAAAAAGTTAATCTACTTAATCAATCAGTTGTTGGATAAGCATCCTGCCACATTAGTAAAACAGTAAATAAAAAGCCAGCCCGCCAGAGCCTCAGGAAGATTACTTCATGAAAGCAAATCAAACTGAAATCCCTTTAGCTGTCTGAATAGAATATTTTCTCTAAAGGCTGTAGTACTGCAAAACCCTCTCTGTATCCATAAAGAGGGTTTGC